CTGGCACCCCGAGCTTGGATCGATCTTCCGTAAGTGCCACCACCCGCCCTGGCACCACCCAAACTTCATCCCAGGGGACACCTGGAGGCCAGAAAGAGAAGACGTGCGCAAAGAAACCCAGAGAGTAAGGCGAGAGGGCAGAGAGGGCTGTTCCTGTTTCTTGGGCTCGGCCTTAGGTATGTTACCTGAGTCACCTGTCTCTCCAGCCATGGATCGGGGTGGCCTGGGCCCTCAGCTACCTCCTGCTACTCCAAGATTTCCCTGTCCCTCCCACTTGTCAGAATCCCTAAGGCCATAAAAACTTCTTCCCCTGCCCATGCCTAACTTGCCCTGCAGGTACCCGGGAAGCTCACTTGGGAAGTGCTGAGGGGCAACATGAGTAGTAAAAGCTGGCCTGGTGCTGGGTTTAGCTTGGAGGCACCAGGGGCAGGAAGGGGCATGGAAGAGATGGCGTGGCTTGGGAAAGAAGTATATGAGTGTCCTGGGGTGGCTGTAACAAAATACTGCAAACTAGGCAGGTTAAAGCCACAGAGATTGATTCTCACAGTTCTGGAGCCCAGAGGTCCAAAATCAGGATGTCATCAGGGCCATGCTCCTTCCAAAGGCTCTAGGATCAGGTCCTTCTGCCTCTTCTAGCTTCTGGTAGGCCCAGGTGTTCCTCGGCTCAGGGCCGCATCACTCCAGTCTCTGCCTCTGTGTTCACATGGCTTCTGCCATGTCTATGTCTCCCTGCTCTCTCTTATAAGGACACTTGTCATTGTATTTAGGGCCCCATTGTCATTGTATTTAGGGCCCACCAGGGTAATCCAAGATGATGTCATCTCAAGATCCTTAACTTCATTACATATGCAAAGATCCTTTTGCCAAATAAGGTCATAGTCACAGTTTCTGGGTAGACGTATCTTTTGGGGGCCACTATTCACCCCGCTACAGGAAGATTCCAGAATAAGTCCCCATGATCTGGTTTGGACAGCTGGGTGGGGGTGTTGGCGGGAGGGGTCCAGGAGGAGATCTTGTCCTTAAAGGCACTGCCTAAGGAGTCAGGATGTGGTCCGAGGAGCAGCAGGAGGGCTGGGGAGATATAATCCTTGGGGTCTGACACCACCGAGGGAGCAGGTTGTGGGGGAGACCGACAGAGGTCGACAGATAGTTCGACCTGCCATTCCAGGGACCAGAGAGCCTCCCGCCCTGCATTCTCGTGTTCCAGGAAAAAGTTACCAAGATGTTTGGGTTTAATTATTCCTTTTTCCTCCACCCTCTTGCCAAGGGGGCAAAGGAAAGCAGACAGCAGCCTAGGGAGGAGCCACCCAGCTGCTATTCCACTCCTGCCGTGGGGCCTGGGCAGGGGGCTGGTGGCCAGTCAAGCCCGGGCCATCACCACCCAGTTTTTCTCTGGACGGTACAAGGGGAGGGGGCTACTGGATCCCCAGGCTTAGGAAGCAATGAAGCCCCCAGCCCTGTGGGCTGAGGACACAGCAAGAGCCCCAAGGCCAAAAGGCTGACCTCACCTGCAGGTGCTGAGGGATGTCACAGAGCGAAGCCACTTTCCCTGCTCTGACTCTTTCTAGAAGCATCATCACCCTCTGCTCCTGCTGTTCCCTGCCCAGACTTTGTCCTCGTCTACCATGGAGTGACCTGGGCTCACAGAGGCCTCAGCTTCACCTCTTGCCTTTCCGATCCCTCGGGGTCCCCTCTGAGAGCCTTATTTTTCTCTCCGTCCTCCCCATCTGTGTTCTGCTTAGCCTGGGCGAGGCAGGAAGAGGACGAGAGAGTGTAGTGTATGGGTGAGAGAAAAAGGCTGTGAGGCCAAAGAAGGGCAAAGTAGGGCCTAAGTGAGGAAGACAAGCGACAATTCGACTGCCCCCAGGTCTTCCGCTCTTTTCCCAGATCACAGACACCTCCATTTACACTTTCTTTGTCAGGTGTAGCTCTGATTGTGTCTTCCGTCTGGGGGCGAATCCTCACTGTCCTCTTGGGTGTAGACCAGTGGCCTCCATTTGAGCTCCAGCTGTTGCTGTGTTTACAGCTGGGGGCCATCAGCTCACCCCGCACCTGTGTGCCCCACAGGAAGCTGGAGACCCTTGACCTGTCTCACAACCGGCTGGTGCACGTGCCCTCCTTTCTGCCACGGGGCCTCCGGCGCCTGACGCTGCACCACAACCACATTGAGCGCATCCCTGGCTACGTGTTCGCGCACATGAAGCCAGGCCTAGAGTTTCTGCACCTGTCCCACAACAGCCTGCGTGCCGATGGCATCCACAGCGTGTCCTTCCTAGGCCTGCATGCCTCCCTGGCCGAGCTGCTGTTGGATCACAATGAGCTGCAGGCCATCCCACGGGGCCTCCTGGGCCTCAGAGGGCTGCAGGTGCTGCGCCTGAGCCACAACAAGATCAGGTAGGGCTGCCCGCCTGCACCCGTCCTGCTGTCTCACCCCCTTCCCTGCCAGCCAGGGGACGAAGGGGTGGCCGAGGCCACGAAGTCCCGCTTGCCAGGTGGGCCGGGGAGGGCTGGCCTGTAGACTCCTCACCTTCAACCTCAGAGGGTGGGACTGTGGGGGAATCCTTCACTGCTCCCATCTATCCATCTTGGTTTGTGTGATGAGAAGCTGCGCCCAGTGGCTGGCAAGCCTGAGCTGCCAAGGTAGAGGGCAACAGACGGCAGAATCTGGGCAGGGTGTGGGCAACGGGAAGGTGGGAGGGCTCCGGAGCAACGAGGGCTAAGCCACCTGCCTGCCCTCCGCCCTGGGTCTGGTCTCTGCGAGGCGGTTTCATTGTCCCCTCATTTTGAGGCCCTTTCTTTCTCTACTCTTTCATGATGCCTGCCTCTCCTTTCTGGGGTCTTTTCTCCTCTGTTTGGCCCTGTCATCCCCACTCCACAGACATGTGCCCCTGAATTCCATCTGTGACACGCGAGTGGCCCGGGACTCCAAACTCATCTCCACGCACTTGGAGAACAACCTCATCGACAGGCGCCGCATCCCACCCACGGCCTTCTCCTGCATCCGGGCCTACCACAGTGTGGTCCTCCAGCCCCAGCAGGGGGAGGAGGAGGGCTCCTAGCCCCATCCTGCCAGAGTTCCGGGCCCCCTGCTCCTTTGGGACTGGTGGGGGAGAGCTCAGGCCCAGTTTTATTTGATCTTTGCACTACTGAGAGAAAGATCTAGAACACCCTGATTCTTCAGAAGCCCCTACTTCCCGTTGACTATTGAGGCCCCTTCACTTAGTAAATGGCCCAGTGGGGTGTGGTGCTGGTGTGGACTTGAACATAATAAATGTGTCTCATTCAAGCCCATGGCCTCCACTAGCCTCGCTTCCTCCCTTCTGGATTGAAGCCACATACACACACTGAATCTCCATTGTGCATGGGGTCCCTAGGGCCCACATCCTGGACACTCTTCATCAGCAGGGGTTAAGAGTATCTGGTTCCACAGCTTCTCCAATAGCCTCCCCACTCCCACCTGCCCTGGCCAGGATCCTAAAGTCCCTAAGCCATCTGGGTGCCAGGCTCAGTTGCTCAGAGCAGCATCAGTACCTGTCATCCAGGAATCATCCCTGTCTGGGGCATGGACAAAAAGAGGTGAGCTTGGCTGGCAGAGCAGGCTAACGTGGCGGCCCCCTGTGCTGGTCCTTTATCCTGGAGCCACCAACACCCACACCTACATCCAAGCCAGGGGCACCTTGCCTCTCCTTCTTCTCCTATTCCACGTCCCAGGGCCCTCATCCTGGTTCCCCCATTCCCAATGCGCACTCATCCCCGGGGTAGCTTATGGGTCCCCAGGGCCTCTCCCCACAGCCTTCATGGTCAGGCACAGGCGCCCAAGGATGTGGGACCCAGATGTGCCCTTGTGTGACCTGGTGCCAGGGAAGGGTGGGGAGCAGCATCCTCTCCACAACTCTTGGGGAGGGAGGGCTTGGTCTGTGGGAGGCCCGGCCCGTGGACCCAGCGGCGACCGCCCCCCTGGCCAGAGTTGCTGACTGTCTGCCTGGTGGGAGAGGCAGACGCAGACATGAGCCAGCTGTGAGGGCTCGGCCCTGCCGAGCCCTGAGGATAAGACAGCCAGCTGTGCTGGGTGGGGACACAGGGTCTGCGGAGTCCCATGACATCACTGGAGCAGTTGCCCCGCCTGTGTGAGGGAGCCACCAGGACTAGGGTGGGGTCACTGGGTCAGCCTTGACAGCTCATGATGCCACCATGCCTGGTGCTCGGGAGGGCGAGGGACAAGGGGCCACAACCAGCCAGGAGCATGGCAGGCGCAGCCCCTACCCCAGGAGTGGGGTCCTCACGGTGATGTGGGAGGAGACAACCAAGCGATAGGAACATACGATACAGTAGGAGCGGGACTGGCCGCAGCCTTCAGTGCTGCTGGATGAGGGCAGAGTGAAGGAGGAAGGGCACCAAGTGCCCACTGCAGAGACCCTGCGCTGCCACTGCCTCTGGTTGAAGTCTTGGCCTGTGAACCGTGAGCCTCGCATGGGTCCCATTCTGTAGCCATTCTCCCCACCCCCACCCCACCCCACTTCCCCCAGTTCTCAGCAGAGAGAGGGCCAGACTCTGGAAGGGGGCAGGGAAAGGCCTGGGAAGCTGGCGGAGTGTTTGCTTTGGACTCATCGCTGCATTCCTTCTCCTCCCGGGCCTGGGCCCACAGATATGGCACTTCCTGTTTGGGCTGGGTCAGAGGTCAGCCGCCCTTGAGGCGCTGGCCCCCATGAGGAAGCCTGCTGTTTTCCCAGCTCTCACGACCCCTCTTCCCCTCCCCTCATGCTCCAGTCAGCCCCCAGCTGCCTCCCTCCCAATTGTCACAGGGGTCAGGCCCTGGGACGCACAGGAATTTCAGGCTGGGTGAATCCCCTCCTTCTCCCTGCTCTGACCACCATTGAGCAGATGAGGCCAGAGGGCCTGGAGGAAACGGGCAGGGTGACATGGCTGCCGGGAGCGGGTACAGGATGGAGGAGGGCAAGGGATGGAAGAGCAGGCAGCCCACAAGTGGTGGCCAGGTTAACTCCACTTCTCAGATAAGAAGATGCTAGGCCCTTGGGGCTGCTGTCAGGTGGGCTGAACCCAGACCCAGAGGCCGATCCTTTGGTGACCACCCTGAGGGGACCTTGGCTCAAGGCATTGCAGACTGGCAGAGCCCCCAGTGGGCACCTGCCATCAGGCTCCTAAGCAGCCAACTGTTTGAGATAAGGATTAGTGTGCGGGAAGTTTACTGGGAGGTCTCCTGGCCACCACCTGGGGGAGGTAAGAAAATGAACACGAGTGGGCCTAGGGAGAAGCTGGCCTCCAGTAATGATGCAGGCCCAGCCAAACCCCACCAGTGCTCTGGAGCTGAGGTGGTCCTGAGTTGGAGCAAGGGGACCAGGCCTTTATAGCCCCCTACCGCTGTTAGGTGGGGCTCTCCAGCGAAGCGGGCATGACTAGAGTGACAGTTCTCTCTTCAACCCAGAAAATTCCTCGAGAGTGCCATGAGCTCAGGGCTGGGGGTGCCAGCAGTTGGAGGCTGGGGACTTCAGTCCTAGCAGGGAGGTGGCCGGGGCAGCACAGTGTGCCCCCAGTGAGAAGGGCTGGTCAGCAGCCCAGCCAGGGACATCCCAGACAGATCCCTAGCCTGGAGAGCAAGTACAGTGCAGCGAATATCTGGTGGCAGGACCTAACCTACCTGCCACTTTGTGCCTGCCTCCTCTTCACCCCATATCCTCCACTCACACCTGTATGGTGCTGGGTACTGTGCTCCCCTTCAGGGAACACCATAGTGATGATCGTAATGATGGTGACAACAGAGTACAGGTGATAGGTACAGATGGCAAGAAGCAAGACACTCTTCAGTCCCCGGACTGAGACAGGAGTAGGAGGTGGTGGGAGTGGGACTGAGGGTAAGGACAGTGGGACAGTGGGGACTGAGAGGGGAACAAATAAGCTAACAAGTGTGAAGTGCAGAGAATGGGGACAGGAAGCAGTGTTGCATCCCCTAGGGCTGGACTGACGTCTCCTCTCAGGGATCTTGGTGGAATCTTGCACTTCTGACTACTCACTCCCAGCCACACACCCAGAGCTCTGCTCATCAGCCTCCAAATTCTCTTAATCTACCTACTCCTCTGTCCCCAGCATCCCCACTCGAGACCCAGCCACCTACTCCTTTGCTGGCGTCTCTGCCTAGCCTCCTGCAATCTGATTCCATGCCTACCTCCTGCCTCATATCCCACGAGCTTGGGTCCAGCCTCTGAATCCAGGAGATGCAGGCCCAGGAAAGGAGCAGAAGAAGGCAAAGGATGTGTCTAGCGTGTTATGCCCTATGCCCTATGCCGTGCCTCCCCCACCATGGCAGCCACCCAGGCCAAGAGACACTGGCCGCCCGGTCCCCTCTCCTGTACCTGCCCTCACCCACTACCCTCACCAGAGCCCCCTGGCCCTGCAGGCAGCAGGTAAATTCGACCACTGCTCCTGGGGGCTGGCCTCTCCCAGAGTGCTTCACGGCTTCTCTGTCCCTCGCAGGTTTTGCAGGCAGCCCACAGATGCCTCCCCGTGGCACAGCCCCTGTCCACCTTCCCTAGTCTGGCCACAACCCAGACCGTGCCTCTCTAAAGATAGCTAGTCACAGGCCGGCCTCCACGAAGCCCCCTTTGGGCCCTGAAATTACAGCCCTGACAGCCCAGGGCAGAGAGCCACTGTGTGATTATGTCCTCGGGGGAAGGTCAAAAAAAGCTCTGGCATAGAGAGTGCCAGCTTTCATGGGCCACACCTCAGTCATCAGCACTGGGAAGCTTCCAGATAGTGGAGACTCAGCCCACTCTGCAGCAGCTTGGCTCCTCTTGGGCCTGTTAGCACAAGCCTTGTGGGGAATGGTCCCAGGACCCCTGCACCCAGAGGGTCCGCTTGAGCACGAGTTATGCATGCTGCCTTGGGGTTCCCGGATGTCCCAACTCTGGCATCAAGGGACGTGCAAGGTAGGCAGGGCTGCCCCCCGATGATGGCGGTCCTGGCTCTCACCCTCCCCTGCCCAGCACCTGAGGTTGCGGAGATTATGGATAGATAAAACCTATAAGCCCTGAGTGAGACCCACTCAAGGCTGTGGACTTGGGGGTGCCACATTGGATTCAGGGGCCATAGTGCCTGGGAGCCTCGAGGACCCTTTCAGAGATCTCAGCTGAGTTGCAGGCAAGGTCGCTTGCTCAAGAAGTGACCTTGATGTGTGTGCAATGTGTCCCTGCTTGGGGATTCATCCTGGAGGCTGGGATGTAAGGGGGTTCCCTTGGGCAAGATTCCTCACGCTGGGCTGGCTTTGCCAGAGCCCTGTGTGAGCACTCCAGGGAACGGCTGAAAGGCAGCCCCTGGGTGCCACTGGAGAGCCGCCTCCTCCTAGAAGCCCTCTCTGCGCCCCCATCCCATGCCAGCACCTAGGTCTGCGCTATTTCCTTCCAAGCGCTCATCACATTTGGTCACCATCATACTTCTGCACATGCTTCCTTGCTTCTGGTCCAGCAGCATGTGCACTCCCAGGGGTGGAGAACAGTGAAAATCAAGACTGACTGAAGGACAGGATGGGACAGAGAGGCACGGGGAAGACTCAGGAAAGCAGTGGGGAGTCAGATAGAACAGACAGAGGGGGCAATGTGCGGAGGCAGGAGCGGGCAGGGAGCCAGCAAGGCAGGGAGGCCAGAGAGGTCCCAGAAAGAGGCTGGCAAAGGGCCCCCAAACCTCCAGACTGGCTGCTCTTCCCAGGCCCCAGAGGTTCATGGAGCCAGCAGCTGGCTAGGCTGGAGCTCAGGGGGAGCCCTCAGTGCTGCTACCTCTGTAGGGGCCCCCTTCGAACCCCTGGGATCCCTGCCCACCAGGCTACCTCCCAGGCTCCCAGGCTCTGCCCTCCACCAAAGGCGGGCTTTTGTGCCTAATGAGGACCAGTGGCTTGCCCTCTGGGTGCCCTGCTTCTCTCCTGGGCTTCCCCCTCTAGCTTTGAAGCCAGGGCATGAACAGCTGTAAGCCAGCTGTGGAGGGACGGGCTGCAGCTGACTCCAGGCCCTTCTCCACACACAGGCCTACAGGGTGGCAACTGGCTTAGATTGCCCTGCCTGAGGCACCCCCCACAGCTGCTCGCTAGCCTTACCCCCCACCCTACTCTCAGCTCCCTGCCCTCGCCCCCAACTACCTTCAAGCACCTGCCCGGCACTCTGGGGCCCTGGGCTGGGCACTGGGAGGTGGGCTGGGGCAGCAGTGACCCAACAAGAACTAGGTGAGGGCTGGCTGCTGTGAGCCAGCAACCAGCCAGCAGTGTGGCCTGGGAGCTTTTCTGGGAAGCCTGAGCCAGCCACCAGGCTCCTTCTCAGGTCAAGTTCTTGACTCCTGAGGGTCCCGTGGGAAGTTCCGGGCTGAGAGGCAGGCTGGTGCCAACAGGATCACCCAGACCTCTGCGGGCCTTTGGGGTAAGTGTCCAGTCTGGGACTTTGGAGTCCTATTCGGTGGTGTTCCTGTTCATAGCATGCTGGGAGAGGGTCTTTGTACCCTCGGGCTCATGCTGATGGGGGCTGGGTTCTTTCTCCCACACCCCCTGCCCTCCCCATGACTCGGGCCAGGCAGTCCTGCCACTCGTTCTCTGGAGCTCAGACAGCTGCGCACAGGCCTCCTTTTTCTCCAGAGCCTGGGGCCTCAGGAAATGCCTTCCCTTCCTTCCTGTCTTGCCCCCCATGCCTGCCCTCCCCTGCCTCCCGCTGCCTCCTCCCAGCCCTGGGAGGCCAGAGGGCAGGAGGCCGCTGCTCCTGCTAGCCAGCAAGGATGTGCTGTTCCCAGCGCGCTTCAGCTGGGGCTAGGTTGTTCCTTTGCTGCAGAGAGAGCCTAGGGAAAGGGAGGGGCAGAGGAGGGGAGGCCCAGGACTGAGGTGCTGCCTGGCTGGTCTGGGAGTGGCCCCCAAATTAGAGGGTCAGGCCGAGTGACTCAGTGGGCCTTGGGCCGGGCGTGCAGTTATGCCTTATTGCAGACTGCAAACCACAGACACAAGAGCCTTCCAGGCACAAGAACCGTATTTACAGAAATATTGCCCCAGATGCATCCCCCAACTACGGGAAAAGCTCCAAGGATCATATGTGCCCTGTGCAGGATATTGTGTTATCACCATCCTCGAGTTCCCTCCAGGAACACGACAGGCTGACAGTGGACGGTGAGCACTGTGCAGGGGAGACTGAGGCTGGTTCACCATAGGCCTCCCCGCCTAATTGCGGTGACACTTTCCCGGCTGCTCCCTACACTCTCTGCACCTTGCTGTGCGCTCTACCTTTTACCGCCAACGTCTCTCTTTGCTACTCTGCTCCAAGTCACCTTCAGGAAGAATCCCTGAGCTTCTGGCTGGCACTGTGTGGGGCCCTGGGGAGGCAAGAAACGAGAGCATCCCAGTCCCCTCCCCATGGAGCCCAGAGCCCATCCCCAGAGGCCTCAGAGTGAGCTTTCCCCAGTGAAGCCCTGACCTCTCTATCATTGTTCTTTCCGCCCCCACTGGGACTCCTGAAGACCAAGGCCCTGAGTGACGGTTCTTGGAATCCCAGCCACCAGAGCAGTGCAGAGCTGGCTGGGGACACGAGAACAAGTGGGCTCCTTGGGCAATGGACATGTCGTACGTGTTTTTTTCTTTTTTTTTTTTTCATTTCTTAAACGGCTTTATTGAGATATAATTCACATACTATAAAATTCACCTTTTTAAAACGTACAATTCGGTGGTTTCTATTTAGTATATTCACAGAATGTGCAACATCACCACAGTCAATTTTAGAACATGTCATCACCTGAAAAAGAAAACTCATGCCTTCAGCTGTCACCCCTCCGTCCCCCATTCCCCCGGCCTTAAGAAACAAGTCATCCACTCTCTGTCCCTATAGATGTGCCTATTCTGGACGTTTCATGGGGAATCATACAATTGTTGGCCTTCTGCCACAGGCTTCTTTGAGGGACACACTGTTTTCTACATGTTTTGGACCCTCTTTCTCCGTCTACCGCCATGACTTGGGATGCTGAAGCTTGGAAAGGCTACATGGGCTTCATGATGTTAGTCTTTTTTACTGCCAGAGATATTGGAATATGTCTCCAATAAATAAGAAAAAAAAAACATAAGCAAACGAGCAGACAAACCGACTCTGGAAGGGCATGTCTTCTCGCCAGTCTCTGGGTCCCAACCATTTGCAACTGCCTTCCCCATGAAAACAAGAGGAAGTCAGAGCTCCCAACCTGGACCCTGATTTTCCCATGTCTCCCTTCTCCGTGGCCCAGCCTGAAAGCTTCTTACAGACAGGCACCACAGCTTGGTCAGGCCACCATGTATTCCGAGTCCTGGCCGAGAGCCCTGAAGTGATGCTGGTGCACGGGAAGACAGCTTGGGCCCAGCCTCTCCACCAGGCAGAACCTTCTAGACTCCACTGCTTGACAGCCCTGTGCCGAGCACCAAATGACTGACTGAATGACAGCTGGCCAGGTGGGCGGGACCCTCAGACCTCAACCATGTTCTCCACCCATTGGACCCGCCTCTCCCTGGCCTCCCCTGGGTTTCAGCCCTGCCGGCTGAGTTTTCCTTTCTGTACGCAGTTTTCTCTTTTAGCCTCAGCGGAGTTCTGTCTTGAATTCCCTGCCTTGGCGTCGTCCCCTCTCAGCCTGTGCAGATCTCAGCGTTGCTCCCTACCTATTTCTCACTCCCTCTAAACCCTCACCTTTGTCTCCCTGAAGCTGCTCCTGTGGGGGTCTCCCTCAATGTAGTGTCAGTCCATTACCAAGGCTAGCTACAGGCCGGTCCCACTGCACACTGGGTACATGGGACCCCACTGGACAGGGAGGCCCCGGGCTCTAGATGCAGATGGAGCTGGGCTTGTCCGGGCCCTCAGAAAGTGGCCAAGCTTCCAGTGATCGTGTGGGTGTCGTGGCTGATGACGGCCTCTTCCTGGGATGCTTGGCGGGCTGGCCCAGTTAGTAAGTGGTCAGCACTGGGCTCAGCATTGAGGAAGTGCCCACCCACAGAGTGATTATCGCATCCTAAGGGACCTGCACTGATTGAGCAAGAAGGATGACTTGCTAGGTTCCTTCTCTCTGAATCAGCTTTCCCACTCAGTTTCTCTGAGCTCCAGGGCAGGCAAGCGAAGGAGGTCCCCCAGAATCTGTGCCGCCCTCCTGCCAGCCCCCAGCTGCTGAGTCCCATCCTGAGATCACGCAGGCAGGACTGGTTCTTCTTTTTTAGGGGAAAAAAAAGGCTGGAGGAGGGGGAAGGCGTCCAGATGCCCAGGAGCATAGATCAAGCCCTTCCAGAAATCCACAACAGCTGCCTCCCTGATCCCAGAGAACCATCTCCTTGTTCAGGTCTAGGCTTCCACACGTTCTGGGCGGGCTTAGGACAGAATTCCAGAGGCCACTCACTGGACTAGCAACCAGAGGCCGCCTCCCCCTCATCTGCCTTCTGTTTCTGCCCTCTCGCCTTCCTCTGCCCGGCCTAGTGCTACAAAGCCAGTTCCCGCCCCTCTCTGGGCCTCAGTGTCCCCATCTGGGCAGTGGAAAGTTTGACTCTCTGAGGCTGTGCTTGCCCAGAGATGCCAAGGGTCCTTGTGTGCGAGTGCGTATCCCTTTGCTATGTGCCCGGGGCGGGGGGAGGGGTGCTGGGGGATGTGAGGGGGAGCGGGTACAGCTAGCCCA